ATGGCCCGCGCTCGACTTGAAGCAGCGCTGCTTAGACCGATGGGTGTGTGTCATCAAAGTACTGCGAGAGCTATAAGACAGCGCGGACGTCTCCTTATACTTTCTCTCGCCGTACTTTGATGTCATACACCGATCGATCTTGAAGTCGAACACACTTCTTTACTCTCGCGTGTCACGTGACCGAGTGTAATCGCAGCCTCTGCGATTGAAAAATCGCGTTTTTTCATATCGCGATATTATCGCAAATGCAATTAATCGTTCAGCCCTAAATCATCTCATAGTTAATAACCTTCTTGAACCTCTTCAGTCGGGTTTTCGTCAATTTCACTGTACTGAGACAGCTTTGGTCAGTCACCAATAATTTGTTGATGGTTTCTGACTCTAGTGCAACATCTATTCTTATTCTTCTTGATCGAAGAGCCGCGTTTGATACTGTTGATCACAGACTATTGTTTACTCATCTTGAAAGAGTGTTTGGTGTGTCTGGGACTGCCTTGAAGTGGTTGAGGTCTTATTTTATTGACCACTCCCAGTTTGTTTCTATGGGTGGTTATAGACCCTTATAGGGCCGACGTCACAATTACGTCACCGCGCTAGCTGGAGGCAAAACAAAGGGGAAACTGGAGGCGGCCAATTCAAACCAGCGCAGATTCAGCTACATAAGGAGCTTAAAATATCGTCTTATTGTGATGTTGGGTGCCAGAATCGATGTAGTAGAGGCTCCGATTTTAAATTTTAAAGCATACCTGCTGCCACCGCCAGACAAAAACCAATGACAGCTGTGGTTAAATGCGATAAAACGAGTGGATTGGACAGAAACGATAGTCAAAAATGCTCGCGTTTGCAGCGCACACTTCTTGTCAGAAAAGGTTAAATAAAGTATTGTCTTTTGTTGTTATGTATTATGGTTTGTGTTACGCGTCCAAAGATTTCTTATGCATCTCACGACTATGAAATAATGAAATGAAAATATGTATGAAATAATGTCTGTGTGCATGTGTGTAAAACAACAAACTGACGATTTATATATAATCATTTGTAATTGTATATACATTGTTGTGATTAAATGGGGCTGGAATAATAATGTAGCTGTAAAATAGTTGTCTGCAGAAACTGAAATGTATATACATCTTTATGACTAGATAGACACGGAGAGTTTGTCTTTACTATATGCGTTAGATGTGAGTCACTCAACCGAAGGGAATCCTGTCAGATCGTCCAAGCTTTAAGTGAGCGTGTACGGGTCGGCCGATCTGGTTTCGTCCGTTAAAGTTAACCTTTTCAAATAGCAATCGTTGTCCCGGACAGTGAGTGACCTGAGTGACATATGCAGGTAAAATCGGATTTTCTCCAGTCATTGTTAAAAAAAACAAGCTAACAAACTTCATAACTAGCGTTAGTCAAGCGGTCAGGAGAATGTTGATGGTTTCTGACTCTAGTGCAACATCTATTCTTATTCTTCTTGATCGAAGAGCCGCGTTTGATACTGTTGATCACAGACTATTGTTTACTCATCTTGAAAGAGTGTTTGGTGTGTCTGGGACTGCCTTGAAGTGGTTGAGGTCTTATTTTATTGACCACTCCCAGTTTGTTTCTATGGGTGGTTATAGACCCTTATAGGGCCGACGTCACAATTACGTCACCGCGCTAGCTGGAGGCAAAACAAAGGGGAAACTGGAGGCGGCCAATTCAAACCAGCGCAGATTCAGCTACATAAGGAGCTTAAAATATCGTCTTATTGTGATGTTGGGTGCCAGAATCGATGTAGTAGAGGCTCCGATTTTAAATTTTAAAGCATACCTGCTGCCACCGCCAGACAAAAACCAATGACAGCTGTGGTTAAATGCGATAAAACGAGCGGACTGGACAGAAACGATAGTCAAAAATGCTCGCGTTTGCAGCGCACAATTCTTGTCAGAAAAGGTTAAATAAAGTATTGTCTTTTGTTATGTATTATGGTTTGTGTTACGCGTCTAAAGATTTCTTATGCATCTCACGACTATGAAATAATGAAATGAAAATATGTATGAAATAATGTCTGTGTGCATGTGTGTAAAACAACAAACTGACGATTGATATGCTTAATGATCTGTAATTGTATATACATTGTTGTGATTGATTGTGGCTGGAATTTTTAAGAACTTGGTAAGAAAAAAATAATCAAATACAGAAAGTTCAAAATTAGTTTCTGGAATTTTTATTTCTAAAAAATATTCACATCTTAATTTAAATGTAATGTATGTAAAGTAAAGGTATGTAATGTCACTCACTGTAAACTTACATCATTTACAGGAGGTATATACTTTAAAATAACTATTTGTATCATTACATGACACATACATTAGGGGTGGGAGAAAAAATCGATCCATCGATGCATCGCGATTCTCTCCCCAACGATTCTGGATCGATTCTGAGAATTTCAGAATCTATTCTGAGCTTAGTTTTTAACCAGATGCGCGATGACGCTGAGTTTGTTTTAGAAACATCCTTATTCTGCTTGCTTCCAATTCCTCACACACATACACTACTCGAACCTTCCGTAAAATAATCTTTCATAAAGTTCGGAAAGGTTTAAGCAAATTACAAGGACATTCGTGGGCTTCATTGCACAGGATACGCTGTGAGAGACGTGCGCTTTGTTTGATGTTACACTTGAAGTGTGCGGTCTCGCCCGTCTGTATTTTCCTTACAAATGCTCTGCGAAGTCATCATTTATGTGGTTTGGAATGCAGTGAAGACCACATGCGCGAATCTGTGTAAGTGGTTTAATGCACTTGCGTCTCAAAATGGTTTTATGAAGCAAAATTAATGTAAACACAGCCAGTTATGTCTGAAGGTATTAAACGGACAGGACAAACCACATTACTTCTTATATTTCAAAAGAGATCCGTGCGTGAATGCAGCTTAATAGATCTCCCGCTGTCTATGATGTCATAGTAAAAAACAACAGTAAAGAAAGAAAAATCACTCACAGTTCTTGAATGGAAAACGTTCAGATAATCTAAATACTGAAAGCACTCTTTGTTTGTTGTTTGTAATGTTTCTATGCTCCTCTTTATTATTTGATACTTGCTTGTATGTTTTGACGTTATATTAGTTTAAACTTCTTAACATACAACTGTTTTAATTATTTTTTTCAATTTGTAATTATTTAAAAAAGTACTTAATTACTTATGTAAGGATATGTAAATGCGGCTCTCGGCCCCGCCCCTCTCGTCACAGTATTGTTTATATTGTGTTCAGCGCTTTGATTCAGCACTTTGAGAAGCTGCTTTTAAAGGTGCTGTATAAAATAGTTTATTATGAATATTATTATTATTGTAGTTTATATTATAGTTTATGCACATCTTCTTACAGAATAAAATAACATCTGCCTGAAATGATTTAATAGCTTTTTTTTTTAATACACTCTGAATTTTTTTTTATTTGCATGTTGGTGTTTTTTTTGTTTTTTACACCCATTTAAGTGATGTCCCAAATTTTGAATATTGCATATTATTGCGTGTTATATTTACATATTATAATTATAACATAGTATATTAAATATTGCCCATTGTCCAATATTAGAGATTTTATTAATTTTATTTTAGAATTTTTCTATTAATTGGAATGGGATGATATTGAATATTTAAAGGGGTCATATGATGCTGCTAAAAAGAACATTATTTTGTGTATTTGGTGTAATGAAATGTGTTTATGCGGTTTAAAGTTCAAGAAACACATTATTTTCCACATACTGTACATTATTGTTTCTCCTCTATGCCCCGCCTTTTTGAAACGCGTCGATTTTTACAAAACTAATCGGTCTGAAAAGCGAGGTGTGCTCTGATTAGCCAGCTATCCAGTGCGTTGTGATTGGCCAAATTCCTCAAGCGTGTGACGGAAATGTTACGCCCCTCACATACTGTTGATTCCGTGTCCGGCCAGAGCGACGAGACAAAAACATTAACGTCTTCAGGACATGGCAGCGGCGGCAACAATACTACAGCGAGAATTAAAGTTACGCCTTCTTTCTTTGCGTGAACGTTTGGGCGGCGTTATGCAAATCTTCCGAGATCGTGACGTAGGTATGTGGGGGTGTGTTAGAACGAGCCGTTTTAGGTAGGCGTGGTTAACTCTTAACTTTTATAAAGAATATCTCTTTGGTTTTGAGACTTTAGTGTTTGCAACTTTACAGATCTTCTTTATGCACCAAGAGCTTGTAACACTCCAAAGAGAAAGGAAAAATTGAAATCGCATCATATGACCCCTTTAATTGTTCATGCTTAATGCCCTATTTTTACATTTTAGGTTGTCTTTGCCATTATGGCTGGATGCTATTGGGAAAAACAGACATTACAATATTTTGTATTTCTGCAATTATGTACAGTATTGCAATATGAAAAAAAAGGAATTTTAACTGGATGACAGCTATGTTTGGAAAGAATTGAAAGAGCATCTCTGTAGAAAATAAAAATAAATAGAAATGTTTTATTATTTTAAATTATAAATATTAAACAAAACAATAAATATATTGTATTAATGCAATTATACTATAAAATAAAATAAAAATTACAGCTAACACGCAAAATAAATATTAAATTTGGCATCTTCATCTTCAAATATTAAACCATTAAAAAATTTTTTTAGTGGGTTTCTGGCAAATAAATAAATACTTTGCAGGTTTAAGAGTGAAGCTTAACAGTGCATATATTAATTAAATTAGCTACAGCCTTTGCTTTTTGACAATCGCATTGTCATATTACAATGTCCATTTTATTTATGATATATCATGCAGCTGTATTTGTAATCATCTAATGCTCACTTTCAGTTAATCTGTAAAAAGCACTAATAATTCAATAACACTGTTAAATGTAATCATTACCTAATCTTGATTTAGCTTTTAATGGCTAAATTCACTTGTGGCATCTAAATTGATAAGTTAGTGTTAATTAGTGTAAATTAGTGTTTAGTTTTATTTTATTTTATCGAGACACAGCAGTATGACATTTTAATATCAGTTGTTATTTCAGTTATTGGCCATGGCATGAAAATATTGGTTTGTCAGTAGCAGCCGGAGTTTTAATATTGTTAATTCCTTAAAATATTTTATTGAAATCCTGGCTTATATTATTCAGGTTTCTCCTGTGGTGTAAACCCCCCACGCTTTCATCATCCTCCAGGTGAAATCTGTCCAATTTTGAACCAAAATAGCACACCACTGCCCATCAAGCCGCAGTATTTGAGGCTGGTGTTGTTTTGAGAGAGTCCTGGTCTCGCACAGGATCGAGAGTATCCCAGTGATCACACCAGTCGCATTACCCGTTCACATGCACATAAGTAACTGTTTTGCCGCTTGAACGAAAGTCAGAATGCTTTTGAAATTATGATACGTAACATAATGACATGTATCAGTTTTCCCGGATTATTGTTTTTTTTCCCGTCTGGCCTGTCCAGATGGAAGTGATTATGCACAGAGGGAGGTGTGTTTTCACGAAAAAAAAAAAGATTGAATCTGACTTCCTTACCCAAGTACTTTCCCAAACACCCCGTGCTTCCTTTGAGGCCAGGGATATGTGGTTGCATTACCGAAGCGTGATGTCGCCCCATCCCCCCCTCCGGCAGGATCTGAGGGGGTCCGGGTCACAAGTCTACAGCACCCAGCTGACTGGAAGCATCTGGAGCTACTGCTTTGGGGCGACGTGCTGCTGATTGCAAAGTATGCCGTGTGGCCGAATCCCTAATGCTCGCCGTCAGCTGATTGCGGCGATTATGCACGCTGTCCTTGTGTTTGTCTTTGAGAGCGTCGATTTCAAACTGCCCTTGAGGAACAATTATTACACTACTGAGTCCTTCTGTGGCTCCTCTGCTTCCAGCGCTCTTGTTGTGCTCCTTTTCCTCGGCTTTCAATCATCAGCCAATCAAATCAAGGGGTTTTTCTACTACCGTCCAGTCTGGACTTGGTATATTTTCCTTTTTCAGAAACACCACCAGTTGAAAATTGGACGCACTTGACTAAAACATATGAGTAATAGTGAGGGGAAAGTGTTGTTTTTCAAGTTTTTATTTGTTTTTCATATTTTTTGTCATGCATAATTTCTATACTTCCATTTTGGTTAGAGTTTTGTTTACTTATTGTATAATGTGGACAACAAAATGCTGAATTTATTCCACAGTTGTGTTTCCATCATAGTTTATGCACTCATTCTACATTATATAATTTTAAAAATACTTTTGATAATTTTTACAAATAAATATCTTGCATTAATAGTATTAATACTATAAAATAAAATAAAAAATAGTGTTTTAGAAAATTCTTATTTTATAGTACATTAAATATCCTGCAAGGTTCATAGTGAAACTTGGCACTGTGTATATCTTTGTTTAATTAAATCATAGGTTTTGTGTTTTGATAATTGCATTTTTTATTAGATATGCTGCTTTATTTGCAATCATTATAAAGTTAATATTTTATAGAGTTAATAATTTAATAACGCTATTGCTTGTAATTTTTTTGCTTTACTTAAATGTAATCTCGACATTATTATGAATGTTTATTAATACTTTACACTAAAATTATTCCACATTTTGCATTAAAATATGTAGGGAGGCCCAATATTACGATATTATATTGATCAAATATTACATTTTTCTTTTTTTTAAATAATAGTATAGGATGATATTGAATGTTTAATTGTTCATGCTTATTTCTCTTATTTTTAAATTTATCTTGCAATATTTTGTATGAATAATAGTGGATAGTGAGGGAATGTTTTTCTTTTTTTTTTAAATTTGTTTTCTGTTTTTGATTGTTCATTATTTACATCCAGCTGGGTTTGAGTTTTGTTGTCTTTATTTTACAATGTAGACAACAAAATCATGAAAAAACAAGGTGTATCGAAACTTGGCTGATATATAAATATAAATACAGCCATATATTTTGATTTCAAGGCCTTGGACACCATTTCCACATGGGTAGCATTTCATTTTACACAGATTAAAAATAAAGACTACATATTATAATTTACTATATCCATTTGCAAAATAAGAATGGGTAGTTTGTGGAGATCCGCTTTTGTGTCAAAATCATTGGCGGTTTTG